TTCAACCAATTGGTACTTTCTACTTCACAATACACTCCAAATACTTAATCCATATATGTATTTAAGTGTAGGGTAGGAATTTTACCTCTTGTAGCTCAAACCCTAACTTGAACCCTTTTGAATGATTCTTGAAGATTAGAGGAATTCATATGAATTTCAATCCATGTAGATGTTAATACTATCATTAACTACTGTTAATCCATTATAAAAATATCATAAAACTCATATTTGATGTGTATTTGGGTTGGGGATGCTCCACCTTCTCTCTAGAACCTAAAACTTAGCCAAAAATAAAATTTCTTTCTCTCTCCCCGAATCCCCCTATTTTTATTAAAAATAGCCGGCGTAGGCAAATTGCGTAGACCACGCAACTTAAGTCCTCCCCCTCACTTCCATTCTGTTTTTGCCTACGCAGCCTGCGTAGGCTACGCAGGTCTGCTGGAATCCTTTCCTCCCTCTTAGCTCAATCATTCCAATCTATGCCTTTAATCATACAACTTGAGGACCTTAAATCTATCTTACCTTCATGCCTAAGTATTATAATGATCCTATTACCCTCGTGTGGGTTCGCAAGCACTTCAAGGTCTCATAAAATATTTTCTTAAGCTCGAGTTCAGCTTAATCTTGTTAGAAACATTTTCTGGAGCTTCACATTCAAGCTGAGGGCGACGCGAAGCATCCAACTCAACATCAATCCCTGAAGCTGATTCAGAAAAGGAAAAGGAAAACTTTAGCCCACAACTTTTGTACGCAATATATAAGCCAAAAACGCCTCTTTTAGGTCATCTAACACACTTGGAAGCGGAAAGCCATCATATAGTTTGAAAATTACGGAATTTGTCTTGAGTTCTTACTTTTCCCTTCTTTTATTGATTTTTATGTGTTCTTGGGAATTAATTGAGATTGCTACTATGATTATGCGTGGCTAAACTCGTTTATTCTGGGATTATGATTTTACATGAATGTTGATATTCGAATATTGATTTGACGATTTAATTTATCATGTTGGGTTGTTTATTCATATTCTGAGTTTAATTATTTTACTGCCTAGCTAACAGTGAAATACTATATATAAATCTTGAGTTGAAATAGGTAATTCTTGATTGCAATAAGATTGAATAGAGCGCGATCTTGAACCTAGTCATTGGGGAATTGATTTGCGAATACGGATAGAAGTATACCTATTTGCCGTGCTTACCCAATTGTGCAAGAAATTGTAATGTGTTCTCTTTATCTCTAATCTCATAAGAATATAGGGTTTAGCGTAAATTGAATAGGCGAGTAAAAGTTGTCGAATTTCTACAAGTATTATTGTCCTTGCAGGTTAATAACCCAGATAAATTAATAAGTCGAGTCGATGAAGAATTTAATAGGATTGTTAGTCGGCTATAACCCTGGAATATTATCATTAGTTCTTCTTTTAATCAAAGCTTTAGCTAGTAGAATTAATTAAATAAAAATCACCTTGACATTGTTCTCGATTCGATAAATTAGAATTTGCTTGATTTAGTTTACAATTGATCATAAGTTCTCGTGGGAACGATACTCTACTTACTCTTTATTACTTGATTGACCGTGTATACTTGTATGTGCGATTTAGGGCAAGAAGATTCATGCTTGCCTATAATGCCCATTGTTAAAATCTATCCCTTGTGTAAAGTTTTTCATATATTGCCATAGTTAAGATGAACATTCACTCAATTGCAACCAAGTTATTACACGCCAAATTCCTCCATAAGACCTCCTGGAAATTTCCCCTCATCTCCGTATATATTTTCTTGATAGAGAATGTTGAGTCCATTATTTAAATGGTCATTTAACTATTTAAAATTATCTAGTAAAATTATATTTTTTTATTTGTAACAGAAAAGTTATTTAACTATGCCTATTGTACTCAGAAAGTCACTTAATCAGATATTTCAAGCTTTCTAGTGGCAAAATACCTATCTTACCCTCTAAATTATCGATTTTTACTATTTTTTTACTTTTTATACCTATTTTATGTATTTCTTTTTATTTGGCTGACATGTATTTTCTTAATTGGTTTATTTTGTCACCTCAAAAGAGAGTAATGTTCATGCACTAGAGTTAGTTTGGGGCTATCACATCTGTATTCAATAGGCACAATTTTGTACCACATAAAGTGTTCAATAGGTAAATGTCATAGTTAACGTACCTAAGTGAAAGATTGTAATAACTTCAAGTGGTTGTATATGTATTTGCCCCCCAAAAAACTAAACTACTAAAAGTGAACTAAATTGTAAAAATAAAATTATATTCCATCTCGAGTTTTTTAACTAAAATTGTCCCTTAAATATTAAAATTGGTCTAACTTTATCCTTTATATATTATGCTTAAGCACTTATAGTCTTTTAACTATGCTAAAGTTGGGCAGCATTAATACTACTAACAGAATATCCAAACGGAGGTTTAAGATTAAGTAGTAAACCCACGTGAAATGCCCATGACAAGGTTAACAAAAGGACCCCGGCGTGTCCATCTTCCCAGTTCGATTCTCCCAATTCACCCCTTTAAACTCAGATATAGCAGGCTGAAAATGAAAAAGACGAAGCAAGTGGAGATGGGATCCCGTCCGCTTAGCCAAATCATTCTATACAATGGCAGCTCAACAGATATTGTGGTCTAAAGTGAAATATTATTAAGAGACCCTTAAATTTATTTTATAAATTTTTTATACTAACAATAAAATTTGCTTTCTAAACAACAAATTAATCATTTATGGCAAAAAATAGCGAATTTTAAAAAAAAAAAAAAAAAGAGAAGAAGGGCACAAATAATAAAGTGGTGGATTATCGGACGTTGAGGTTCAGAACTAAGTGAATTTTTTTGATTGAGCTATCATCACAATCAAGAAAAAGAAATAAACGTGCATAACATAATAACTTAAGTTTGAGTATTGACAATGTCAAAAATATTTACTCATTCTGATCAATTTAAACGATAATTGCAGTTCATTCTATTAATTAATAGCACTTATTGGTTTATATCTAAAATTAATTGTAGATAATCTAATATAATATGTTGAATTACACTAAAAGAAAACCAATGCATGAATACTTTTGTGTTCATGCAGTTTCAAAGAATATTGTAAAAGAAATTCATTATGTTATCAATATATATCTTAATTCCTATATAAAAAGGATAAAATTAAAATTGAAAAGTGAAGCAAATGTACTAATTAATGAGTGAGAAAATTATCATAATTTATGAACTTATTGGTATAAAATAACCTCAATCAAATAACAAAAAAAAAAGATACTATAACACTTTTCTTTATAATAATTATTTATATAAATTCTATAGTATATAATAGTCTTAATAATAAGAGATTAAGTAAATTTGAGGCCTTCAAATTCTGGGAGCCTGAGGCAATGGCCTCACTGGCCAAGCCTTTAGAGTCGCCCCTGCTTCTATATCCATGAGACTGGGGTAATATAGTTCTAAGAACTATCACCCATGGATAGTGCGGAGCTACATGTGACACCCCTTCACCGAAAAATAATACTGTATAATTGGATAAAAAATTCTTTTTTATGTAATATATACTATATATTGATTTCCCATGATTTTTTCGTGATTTTACTTATTTATATTTTGACACATCTTAATGAAAATTTTAGCTCACCATTAAATACCATCAATGACGGCATAATGCATGCCATTCTTACCCATGTTTCCAACTCAGTATTTATTCTACCACTAATAAGAAAGGAATGTATTAGCAACCAAAAAGGATATATAGTTAATGTGTAAAAGCAGGGCAGAAAGTACAGTTTAGAACTATTTTATATATGTTATGGTGAGGGTGTGATCAAAATTCAAAGAAACCGATCTACGTTATTTGTAGGTTTGGTTGAACATGTGAGTAGGGTGTTCATAAAAATTAAAAAAATCGAACAAAATCGAAAACTGAATCAAATCGACCAAAAAAATCGATACCTTTTAAGTTTGGTTTGGTTTTGGTTTTGAATTTTAAAAACTGATCAAATTTAGTTTGATTTTGGTTTTAATAAAAAAAAATCGAAAAAATCGAACCAAACCGACTCTAGAAGTAGCTATTTAAATTTATTATTACACCTATATATATGTATATTTTTATATAAAGTTTCTAAAATCTTATGGTACATATTAGTCATTTTATTTTTAGTCTAGTTCTTTGCTATTATAATAATCTAATTCTTTGCCTTTATATTCTAGTTTGATTGGTAGTTTTCTTTTGTTAAGTACAAGAATTTATTTCATGTTAAAAATTATCGATTTTTACTTGAGTACTTAAATTATTCATCACTATTTGATTCAATTATCATCAATATATCTTGGTAAATGATAAATTTCTCAAAAAGCAATTGATTTGATAGTGTTACATTGAAAATGTAGTTGCCGGAATATGCGTTTGGTAGTGTATGTCTCATATTTAAGAAAAACCCCGATAAATAACCGAAAAACCCGAAAAGCTGACAAAAACCGAATCGATAAAAAACCGACTTAATTGGTTTGATTTGATTCAAATATTTAAAAAACCGACTTACTTGGTTTTGATTTCCTTTTAGGGAAAAACCGAACCAAGAAATGATCAAATCGAACTGTCGTGGTTTTCAGGATATCTATGCATTACGACAATTTTCAAGTTTTCTTGATTTCCTTTATCTCTTCACCCATTAATTTTTCTTCTATATAGAACAATATGTGAGTCAATTACACCGAGAAAAAAGAGAGGCCACCCGTTGAGTTCTTGTTACTAGTATTCATTACTGTATCTTGCAATAAAAATTATATTTCTTTTACCCGGAAAATATGGAAGATGTACCGACGAAATTCTCTTTTTAATCATCTCTTGTGCGTCCCACGTGAGTTTACTGTTAGATTTTAAAAGCTCCGTTAGAGTATTCTGTTAGTTATACCAAAGCTGCACAAGTTTAGCATCGTTAAAGGACTATAAGTGCTCAACATAATACTTAAAGGACAAAGTTAGACCAATTCACATACTTAAGGGGTAATTTTGGTTGAAAACTCTTCCGTCTCACAAATCCCCACAAAAGGCCCTCAAAAATATTCCTTCTCCGTACACCCTAGATATGGGAATTACAGCTCGTTTCAGTCGCAAGAACAAGATCACGCCCAACAACGAAGACCCATCGCCGGCGGTCTTGCCACCGATAAACTGTCCAGCCACGAGGAAAGAGCTAAACGAGAAAGAGCTAAAAGAAGTGTTCGAGAAGTTCGATATGAATGGCGATGACAAAATTTCAGCGTCGGAACTCAATTCCGCCCTGTCCAGTGTAGGAAACGGTGTTACGACAGAAGAATTGGAGAAATTGTTCAGCAAAGTTGATTCCGACGAAGATAGGCTCATCAATTTTGCAGCATTCCTCTATTGCTATAGAGTTTTGGAGGATATTATGGATTCTTTCTCTGTGTTTGATGTGGACAAGAATGGATTCATCACTGCTGATGAGGTTCAGAACCTGTTTATGACGACTCTGGGGGAAGAACATTCGATTGAAGAGTGCCGGAAACTGATCGGCGCCGGTGATAGTGACGGCGATGGTATGATCAGTTACGAGGAATTTAGGGTTATGATGGTTAATTCCAGATTGAGGGATGGAAATGCGGGTCGGGGCAGGTCAAACCCTTAATGGCCCGATACTCATTTGTAGTTTTTTTTTAGTACTTTTTTTTTCTATCATCGGTGCATGGTTTTTTAGCGTCATGGGTTACGAGCTTACTTGGGCCTAACTTAAAAATCTCATTTTTAAATGAGTTTTAAAATCTTAGTCCAACCCTACAAAATCACGGTTTGAATTAGGTCGGCCCAGTGAGCTAAATCCATATTGACGGTTGTATTAATTAGTGAATGAATGTGTATATATCATTAAATCTTCCTTGCAATACATTTAACATATTGATGTGGCGGAGTTTATGCCGTAGGTTGACGTGAGATGCCAACTAAATGTTCAAATATATTGAAACTAGTAAGAGCTAAACTTATAATCAAATTAGTGAATTCAATTATAACGAGTATCATTGAACTTGAAATTAATTTTTTTAAAACTTTAGTCGAGATATAATATAGTTAGAATTAAAGATTAAGTGAATTACATTTTTCAAAGACAAAAAATATATAATGATTGTTTGCTAGGTTTTAATACAGGATTCTCTTGTTTAATTATGTGCGAGATACACAAATATAGGAGTATTTGATTTATTTATTTTTTGGTTAAAAATTTCATTAGGTAATGAAACTTTAGCTTGCCTAAGTTTTCTTCTTTTTTCAAATAAAAGAAACAGAAATTACCCCGCCCCCACCAAACCCCCCACCAAAAAAGAAAACAGAAATGAAATGTAAAGTAAAAAAAAATAATGATAAGTGCCAACCCTAAAAAACATTTCCCCCCATCCTTCTTTCTTTATCAAATTTGTCTTTCATGTTCTTCTTTCTCTTCACCTTTAATCCTTAATCTTCCTCTCAAGTTTCAATTCACTAAATAATTAATCTCATATTCCAGAAAAGTCATGTACAATACTTCTCTATTCTCAATTATTTTTTCTTCTTTTCTTTTTCTCCCTCTTTCCTACTGTGACTTCCTCTATTATTTTTTTCTCCCTCCTTTCCTACGGTTACTCTTTCCTCGTTATATTTAGTTATTGTAGTTAATATGTAAACAATTTAAATATGAGAAGAAAAAAGGATTAAAATTGTTAAGCCTTTTTAGAAGAAAAAAAGGGAGAAAATTCGCATACAATGAGTAGTTTTTGTTCCTCGTCCATTTTCATGTAACAATACGTACCCGTGAGAGGTAGCTCTAGTTCTACACGTACTTCACATACAATTTTACAAATTAAAATGATGAAGCCAGAAAGAGAGATATGAGTACAAATAAAATTCAGTACATCATACATCTAAGCATTTAAGTGGAATTGATGAATGGACCATACACTGTCTAGATTTCACATATAGTTAATATGTTTTTTTAAAAAAAATAAAATGTAAAATAGAACTTTTGGCAATTACATAGGTAACAATAAACGCATCAGTATCACAATGTCAAAATAATGCGAATATTAATACTACTATGAAATTATTTTTCTAAACAGAGAAAAATAGTACGGAGGAAAAAAAGAGCATCACAGGAAGTGTTCTCATGTAATAAAAGAGGACAAAAATAGATTGAAAATGGCGAATTCATCATCCGAACAAGAGTTTTGCTGAAAAATATGAAAAATCAAGGGTCGTCCAAATACAATACAGATCTAAATAATATATAGCAAAACAAATCGCCTCAACTTTGGTGATGGAGAGGAGAACACAAGAACTTAAAAACTGATGATGGCTATTCATTTCTCCATTAGTATACACAATAATAATATAGTAACTTATACACAATGAATTCATATGGGAGTTATTTTGTGTAAAACACCTTGAATAAGGGACGGGGAAAAATCTTATTATTTGGAGGCTTTTTGACATCTTAAAAGGAAGAAAAAATTCCAAAAAAAAGAAAAAGATAAATAAGATCTTTAGCACTATAGAGTGCCAAGTCACCTCTTTCATGCCTTGCTTTATATTGCCTTACCTTACTACTATATATAAATGACGAAGGTGGATGAACTCTGCAATAACAAGTTGTACAAAAAGCTGTTTGATTGTACCTTTAATGGGTAGGGTTTCCTTTAGAGTGGGACATTCATTTCATTTTGTTTTCTTCTGATATTTCCCTCTCTTCTCTCATAGGGACATGGCTGGTGATAGACAAACCAAGATCACCTAAAATTCTGACTAACCAAGAGATTTCAGCAACAACTTTCCTTAAGGCTCGATATTCTGCCTCAACAGAAGACAAAGAAATAGTGGGCTGCTTTTTGCTTTTCCAGGAAATAGGACAACCACCAAGGGTGATGTATTACCCAGAAACAGATCTCCAAGACTGAGCACAAGCTGCCCAGTAAGAATCAGAGAAACATCTGAGATCCAAATTAGAAGAACAAGGCAGAAGTATGCCCAGATCTGGAGCATTGGACAAATACCTCAAAACATGGAGTTCAACCATCATGTGAGGAATCTGAGGAACCTGCAAGAACTGACTTAAGTGTTGGACTGAAAAAGCAATGTCTGGCCTAGTGTGCTAAAGAAAATTTAGCTTCCCAATAATTCTCCTATAACCATTGGGGGTGAGAAAGAGCCTCTCCCATGTCAGCAATGAGCTTGAGAGAAGAATCCAGGGGTGTAGTAATAAAACTGAAGTTCTGGCAGTTGAATTCAGAGAGCAAATTAGTGGTGAACTTAGTCTGGCTGACAAGAAAGCCCTAGGGAGTGTGAGAAACCCCCAAACCCAAAAAGTAGTGAATGGTTCCCAAATCCTTGATCTTGAATTGATCATTCAAGAAAGCCTTCACATTGTCCAGCTCAGAAATATCATCCCCAACTAGGAGGATGTCATCAACATAAACAGCCAATACAGTGAATGAGCCCCCAGCAGATTTGATGAAGAGAGAGTAGTCATTTCTGCTAGAAATGTAGCCTTCGGCAGACAAGGCTTCAAACAGTTTGGAAAATCACTGTCTTGAGGCTTGCTTAAGACCATATAAGTACTTTTTGAGCTTGCAAACCAAAGGAGGAGTGGAGGAAGAACAGGGAAGAGAAACCTGTAGACCTTTGGGGATCTTCATATACACTTCTTCATGGAGATCCCCATGAAGAAATATATTATTGACATCCAATTGATACATAGTTTATCGTCTTTTGGCAGCAAGGGAAAAAAGATATTTAATGATTGTAAATTTGACAACAGGAGAAAAGGTTTCTGTATAATTTATACCCTCCTTTTGTGTGTCACCTCGAATGACCAACCTGGCCTTGTATCTCTCAATTGTTCTATCAGATTTTTGTTATATCTTATATACCCATTTATAAGGAATGGGTTTCTTGTTAGGGGGCAGTGGAACAATGTCCAAGTATGATTGGTTTCAAGAGCTTGAAATTCCTTAACTATGGCCTCTTGCCAAGCAGGAGAGAAAACAGCCTGATGATAATACTGAGGCTCATGTGAGTGCAGATCAACAGTGGAAAGTTGTGGAATATCAGAAGCAGGGGCAGAAGGAATAACATAAGAGCAAACATAGTCCTTAAGGTATGTAGAAGGGTGACAAGTTCTAGTAGAATGCCTGGGAGGTAGAATAGAAATAAGAGGTGAAGGAGCAGAAGAGTGGGGGGAAGGGACATGAGATGAGACAGCAGGTAGGCGAGAAGGGGAAGAAGGGGCAGGAGATGAAGTGGAGGGAGATAAAGAAAGGGACTGGGGAGTAGGTTGAGAGTTGGGCAGGGAGGATAAAGGAGGGGAAAGAGGAGTAGAAATAGGGACAAAATCAAAAGAGGGAGTTGGAAATATAGGAGTTGAGGAGGATTGAGAAGAGGAAGAATAAGGGAAGATGTGCTCATAAAACACAACATTCGTTGAGTAAAACATTGAGGAATTGGACAAATTGAGCAACTTATAACCTTTTTTGCCACAAGGATACCCAAGAAACAGACAGGAGATTACCCTAGACTGAAATTTGTCTCTACCAACCTTGGGAGAAGTTGCATAACATAGGCATCCAAAAGACTTAAGATGATCATATGATGGAGGATGACAATGTAATTTCTCATAGGGTGAAATGTTATTCAAAATAGTTGAAGAAAATCTATTTATAAGATAAGAGGCAGTAAGGACACAATCACCCCAAAACTTTATAGGTTAGAATAGCAAAGCCCTAGAAGTTTCAAGTAAATATTTATATTTTCTTTCAACGACACTATTTTGTTGAGGAGTGTGGGGAATGGTGGTTTGGTGTAGGATACCTTGGGAAGTAAAAAAGAACTTTGCTTCAGAACTGCTCCCAAGTTCAAAAGCATTGTCAGATCTAAAGGATTGAACTGATGTGTGAAAGTGAGTCTTAACCATGAAGGTGAAAGCCTTAAGAATAGAAAAAATATTTTCTTCACATGAGAGTAGATGAGTCCATGTTACTATAGTATAATGATCTACTAAGGTTAAGAAGTATCTGAATCCATTATATGTATTGGTGTGGTAAGGCCCCCAAACGTCAATATGTACTAATTGGAAAGGTGTTGAGGAATGAGTAGAAAAAAAGGCAATATATGTTGCCTGGCCATAGGAAAAATTGGACACAAAAATAATTGCTTAGAAGAAATTTTATTAGAAAGAAAAGAAATTGATTTCATTATGTGAAAAATGATATACCCCAACCTTTGATGTCAAAACAAATCTACTTTGTTAATTGCAACAGATGGAATACAAGAGGGACTAAGGGGAAGTGGATTGTTAACAGAAGCAAAAATATTACATGTACTGTCAAAAGATAAAGAAACATTACATGTATTTTCTAAACTAGAATTATGAGATGAATCAGTAGCTTCAGTATGAAGAAAATATAGCCCATATGCAGCTTTATCAATTTTCAGTGGCCTCTTCAGAGAAGGGCCTGTAAGAAACAACTAGAATTGGTAAGTATTGCATAACAATGGAGTTGACAAATGAGTTGATAAATAAAAATTAAATTAAACTAAAAAGAGGGAATAAGAAGGACATTATGCAAGGTTATATCAGTCCTAAGCTGCAAGGAACCAGTTGATAAAACCTTAAATTTATATCCATTAGGCAAGGTGATTAAGAATGGTTTGGGCAATGGTTGTAAGCTATGAAGAGGATGTTTGTGGGGTGTCATATGGTTAGTGGCCCCTGAGTCTAATATCTAAGAACCAACACTTAGCTGAGTGGATGCACAGACATGATAGCCATCAGAAGTAAAAAAATAGTACTACTAAATAAGCTGAACAAACCTGCAAAATTTGCGTAACCAGTATTTTCCTTAGATGACATATCACCATGAGGACCAGAAAAGACAT